AACACATGCCACATGTTTACCGTTGGACTTCTCAGAAAGAGTCTAGTGAAGAGATACAGTTGCAGGCTTTTCAAGAAGAGCTTAACAGGTTGGGTGTACACAATTAAAAAGTCTTTCGAAATTGAAACTTTATTTCATACAAATTTTATAGTTGTTATATCTTATAGTTGTTATTGTTTGTAGGTTATTTGGGATCCGTATCAGAGTTTCAGAGATGTCTATCTGTGTCATCTAGTTATGTTCTACCACGGTTGCCTGAAGTGTTTGGAAGTAGTTGAACAATATCACCTTGATAAAGTTTTAAGACAGTTTGGCAAAGTGCAAACAATCACTAATCCATCACTTGGCCCCATGCGTACTTCTTAAGGAGCCATAGCTCCATGCTACAATGTTATGTATGCATACTTGGACATCATTTAGGAGACATGGGACAACCATGTGTTATCTGAGTAGAGGAGGACTACACCGATATGGCAGCCTTAGGGTTGTGTTTATAGTTACATGGATTGGTACCAAACTATTACCCATATGTATTGTCACGACCCGAACCCGCCCCCATGGGTTAAGGACATAACCGGCCAGTAATCCTGAGATTACTTACGGCCTCAAACCAAACCAGACATAACTCATCAGAGTAAAAAGGGCCAAACGAAAGCAAAATTTAAAACTTTGTCCGTAGAGCTGTGCTTACATGGCACGCCATAACAAACCATACATATATCTGTTAATAACTCACATCAAAATATGTACCAACACAAAACTCTGTACACACAGGATCATTCAAGTCTAAGTCAGCCAATCAAAGCTATATACAAACGTGTCTAAAGTCTTTGCCAACATGACAAAATAAAACAAGATAGCAAAAGGGCGGAGACGAGTCTCGTGCGTGAGACGTAAGGGCTGACTCTTCAAAACCTTGGTTGTTCCACACAAACTTCACTGGGGCTGGGTTTGGTCCTCTCTTGGCTCACCTACAAACACATGAATGAGCGTGAGCAAAAGCCCAGTGAATAATATCGAATAAAGAAGATACATTAGAACAACATACATCAGACGGCCTTGGGCCCAATTCATGTCAAACGGCCTTTGGCCCATTTGTCTTCCATTCATGTCAGACTGGCCTTTGGCCCAACCATTCTTTCAATCATGTCAAACTGGCCTTTGGCCCATTCATTCTATCATTATTGTCTGACTGGCCTCTGGCCCATTCATTTATCATTCAGATCATACTGGCCTCTAGCCCATGCATTTATCGTTCGGGTCATACTGGCCTCTGGCCCATTCATTTATCATTCAGATCATACTGGCCTATGGCTCATTCATTTATCATTCAGATCATACTGGCATCTGGCCCATTCATTTATCATTCGAATTAACAAACTTATAAGACTTACATAGAAGTAAGTAATAGGACAAATAACATGCTTCAGATATCTTTATTAAGATACTACTCACAGTGATCGGCTGGTTGATTTGCCCTGAAGCTTGACCCTACACATCATATAACATATGGGTCACAAATGATTCAATCCGTTCTTAATTCACATATTCCTCTTTAGGCTTCATTCTTATCCTTTTAACACATTAATAATGCTCAATGCATGCCTAAGAGTGCTTGGAAGTGAAAGAGAACAGAAAACGAAGCACAAAATGCATTTTCAAAATTTTAGAAACAGGGGTCCCCGCTCAAGCGTGGACTTCCCCGCTCGAGCGAACCCAATAAGTCTGCAAAAGTTCTGGCTACCTTGATTTTACGCTCGAGCGTGGACTCGGGCGCTCGAGCGAAAAGTCATCCTACATAGCTCCCCGCTCAAGCGTGAACTTCCCCGGTTGCGCGGACACCATGTCTGCAAAAAAAAATACTGGGAGCCCGAATTTTACGCTCGAGCGGCGGTTTCCCCGCTCGAGCGGACATCATGAATTCTGGGTTTTCCAGCAACGTTCTTGAGCTCAAACTTGCTATTCAAAAGCTCTAAACACATGATTTCGGTCCAAAACATGCAATTACATTATATAGCACATGGATGTAAACAACATGAAGCCAATCACCCAAAATCATGATCCAATTATTCAAAATCAATGATGGCTCATGCTTTCAACCTCATATAAGCTCCACGTTTTTAATAATCAAACATGCGTGCAAATTTTGACTTCATTTCTATTTTAAATGATGCAAATGGTGTCCATTCTCATGAAACTTAACAAAAACATGCTCGAATGTATTATCCAACCCTCAATCTTTTATAATTGACATGCTACATGTTAGATTATACAAATTTATGGCAATTCATAGAAATTCTATGCATGCATGTGCATATCTCATCAAAATCAACACAACTCATGATCTAACTCACCATTTAGTCTTCAATTCACAAAAACACAACTCAAACTCATGAGCTAAGGGTTGATTACTCACCTAGGAGCTTTAATCTTCCAAACTTATGCTTAACTCTTGAGTTGGTCTCCAAATCACTCAAGTTCAAGATCAAAACTTCAATTGTTTCCCTCTCCCTCTCTCTAGCTGACCCTCACTCTCCTTCCTTAGAGCAATTTTCGGCTCAAATGAACAAAAAGGGAAATTGAGTGTGTAGTGCCCCTCTTTATAGGTCCTATTAGTCACAATTGATTAAAATTAAATAATTGAGCACTATAATACCAATTTAATCTATTTAATTTCATCTAAATCAATTTTCAATTAAATTTCACCGTAGGCTCTAAAAATTAGGCCAATCATAACGGCGCAGTCAATTTCGGATTTGGTGGCCGATAAGGCCTTCAATTTAAATTCCAAAGCAGGTAATCAAACAGATATTCCTACGGTGAACAGATAGAAATTCAAAACCATATATATTCATATAAATGGCACACAAAATCATATCAAATACATAATCAAATTCATAACAAGGACCAATTAGCATATTAAGGGACACAGTTATCACATGTATGTTCAAAACCTAGTGAATATTCATCATTATCAGTATCCTAGCCAAGATGCACAGGTATCATCTTTTTTCATTTACATTACAACTTATGTATGTAAACTGTTCAGACAATGTATATAATGTTGTACTTGTTCTCTTAATGTAGCGTATGTCACAGATATATTAGATTACTTATCCTTTCATTGAGTCTGGCTATGATGACAGTGTTGAACATCCTGATAGGCTTTACTATGCAATAGATGCAATTGAACACCTTTTGCATGATCAGCACATTGGTGAAGTTGCACCTAGCACATTTACTCAGGATCGGTCTGCACTTTGCTCTTCTATTACATATCGTTTTGGAGCACATTACACTCGCCGATCACGTAGTTGATAGTAGTTCATAATGTTATATTAGGTATTTTGTGATGGTGTTGGTGGATGTACAAGGAGACAAATATTATTATTATCTTTGGACTATGTACTTTTTGGATACTTTGGTAGATTTAGTAATTTAGTAGTAGGTATTTATCAGTGGTACTCTTTAATATTATTATTACTCTTTGTATTATGTATAAGAAGACATGTATTTTGTGATGATGTGGATGGATTGAACTACTAGTTGATATTATTTTGTCTTTTTGGATACTTGTTGGTTAATATTATTACTCTTTAACAGTAGTTGCACTTGGTTAATATTATTTTTATTACGTTTTGTGTTCAAACAATGTAAACAATATGATATCCATTTCATACATAAGACAACTATAACTTATGTGATATTCCATCAAAAAATGGCCATTACAAAATCCAAGGGCAAAATGATATCCATTTCAGAACTCCGTGCTATTATAAATCATAAAAACTAATCTCTTAAATCTTTTAAATATTCTAGAACTTCTCTCTAATACATCAGTCAGTGTCAACCATATCAAATGTCTCTCGAGTAGCTACATTAGGTCCTATGTTATCTTTGAATTTCTAAATGTGGCTAACATATGCATTCTCCTATTTTGATGCACAAGGGTGATGGTGAACTCGCCAAAGCACAACAATGGGAGGAACTGGATGATCGGCCTCCAAAAATACCTGCACGAACATGCAATGAAATTGTCATTACCGAAACCCGCCCCTATAGTTTTAGCGTCGTAACCGGCTAGTAATCATTGAATTACCAAAGGCCTCTGAACAAAATAACATATAATTAGTGGTTGTAGAAGCAAATATATAAAACACATTGTCCATGGAGCTGTGCTGACGTATATGGAACAAAAATTTAAACTTTATATACAAATATGTGACGTCAAAAATAAAGTCGTCTTACGTCACATTCATTACAAATGGAGCAAAAAGGGAACTGAGCCCCATATACAAATGAACAAAAGTTTGCTCGTATATCAACAGAAAACAAAGTCTTAAACGTTTACAAAACATGGCCATAAGGCTTAACTTAATCCGAAACCCCCTCGGGAGGTACAAAAAGGTAGCTGACACACCAAAACTCCAGGCAGCAGCTAGGCCTAGTCACGCGCCTGGTCACCTACATACATAATATAAATAGTGAGCAGAAGCCTAGTGAATAATAACAGAGTAAAGAATTTAATAAATGATATCCTATAGAACATTTTGAATCAGAAACAAATTCAGTTCCGCATACTTAACCAGAGATTATAGCAATTATATATGGTATATCCATTTAGCCGTCATATCATATCAAATTTGCATAGTCGGTACCGACGACCACAGAGGTCCACATCTTGTGCACAAGTAGCCATGGTACTGTTACCCCCAGGCGAGGGCCACGTGAACATAGGCCTTGGTATTGTTACCCCCGGGCAAGGGCCACATGAGCATAAGCCACAGTATTGTTACCCCTAGGCGAGGGCCACGTGCATATCAGCCACGGTATTGTTACCCCCGAGCGAGGGCCACGTGAACTATAGATGCCACAATCACATTTCAGAAAAATGGACACTCATTCGTGATTTACAGATAGCATTCCAAATAGCATTTCAGAAAAACAGATCTTATTACATCATATAGAAAATAAATAAAGTTGAACATAACTTTACTAAGTTAATACTCATAGTTGGCTTCAGAGGCAGATATACAGAGTAGAAAAAGCTTACGGCTCGTGACCTACACAAACATAAAAGATACATTCTTGAAACATACACTCGGATATAACTTAACCCAATACATTCATTCTTAGTATATTTCTAAGTCTTATCCTTATTATTATGTCTTAACCATGGCCTATGAATGCCTAAGACGCAATGAGGCTGCTGAAATGTACTTGAAAACACTTAGGCAATATACTGAAAATAGGGGCCTCGCTCGAGCGCAACTTTTTTCGCTCGAGCGGAGGTTAAAAAATGTGAGTAGTCGCTCAAGTGTAACTTCCTTCGCTCAAACGGTCTGTAAATTCTGCAAAAGTACTGGTTGTGTGAATTCTCCGCTCGATGGCCACTCGATGATCGCTTGAGCGTGAGACTAAGGTCCTTGCTCGAGCACAGCTCTTGTCGCCCGAGCGATCTACAAAAATGGTAAACTTCTGGGAGCATGTATTTTACACTCGAGCCAACTTTTGGTCGCTAGAGCAGAGGTGCAAGACACAGAGTGGTCGCTCGAGGGAATGAGTAAAATCTGGAATTTCCAGATTGCTCTTCCTTGTTCAAAACTCGAATTCAACACATCATAACTCATCCTTTTGGGCCAAAAACTTAAGAAAACTTGTGTGTGAACTTGGAAAACATCGAGAATTCAAGATCATTTCGTAAAATCAAGGCCCAAAAGCTTGCCAATTGTGCAAAACAAAACTCAATTCGTTGAAAACATAACATGCATGAGATGGTTTGGCTTCAAGGCTTCCAAGACATGATCATTTGGTATAAAATGATGCAAAACAAGATGAATTCTCAAAACAAAGGTAGACTTAGCACATGCATGTGAGAATTACTTGAAATTTAACTTAAAATGTAAGCAAATGTGCATGCATGCATAATATGGCTCAAGTGCATCCATTCTAGCTCAATCCTTGCATTATTCAACTAAATTCTCTTGAATTTATGGTCTAGACATCATAGTATACAATTCAATGGTGGAATTCCTACCTCAATCTCTCAATGAAGCTCTAGTTGGTGAATTCTCTAAGGTTCCATACCAATTTCCTTGAATTGTCTAGCAATTTCTTTCAAGCTCAAGTGTTGATCTCAACCCTCTTGGTCTCTTCTTCCTCTCTCTCACGTTTGTCTCTTGTAGGCTCAAAGATTATGATGAAAAGGTGACTCAAGTGGTGTGTATAGGCCTTATATAGGCTTGCTTAGGAAATTTAATTAATCTTAACTTAAGCTAAGCAAATTGACTTTAATTATTTTTTAATGCGTTCCAAATCGAATTTTAATTAAACTTATCATAAAATTCTAAAAATTCTAATTATCACAGAAATCAAGTCAATTTCCTAATTGGATGCCGATAAGGCCTTCAATTCGCAAAATCAGAGACAGATATTCCTACGCAAAACAGATAGAAACTCATATAGCACATAACACATGCAATTAATAATTTTCACCTTAATTACTCATTAGGCATTCTTACTCATGGTTTAACGGTTAATCATAGGTCGGGGTTGTTATAGTCTTCTCCCCTTAAAAGAGTTTGGTCCTCCAAACTCGAATTACCTTCGTTTTGGAAGAATACCGGATCTAGAGGGAACAAATCTAGGTGCCTCTTCATCATATCTTCCTCGATCTCCCAAGTCACATAAGTCCCTCCATGGTTTTGCCAATCAATCTTCACCAATGGGATTTCCTTGTTTCTTAATCTTTTGATTCGGCAATTAACAATCTGTATTGGCCTCTCTTCGTACGTATTGTCATCTTTCAGAAGTACATGAGTTGGCTCAATTACATGGAATAGATCTCGTAGATATTCCCGAAGCATCGAAACATGAAAAACATTATGCATATGTTCCATGACCGTCGGTAGGGTTACCCGATACGTCACTGGGTTGATCTTCTCAAGGACTTCGTATGGCTCAACATATCTTGGTGCCAGCTTCCCTTTCACACCAAACCGAGTTTGCCCTTTCATTGGCATTACTTTGATAAAATATGTGATCCCTAACTTCATATTCTCTGTCTCTTCTTCGGACATCGACATAACTCTTTTGGCGATTTTGTGCAGTTTTCAATCTTTGTTGAATCAATTTCATATTTTCCGTCGTTTCTTGCACAAGTTCTGGCCCCAAGAAAGATCTGTCACCTACCTCAGCCCAACAGATCGGTGAACGGCATTTTATACCATACAGAGCTTCATAAGGAGCCATCCCAATACTTGAGTGATAGTTGTTATTATACACAAATTCGGCCAATGGTAAGTAGGCCTCCTAATTGCCTTGGAAGTCCAATACACACATCCATAACATATCTTTCAAAGTTTGATTGGTTCGTTCAGTTTGGCCGTCTGTTTGTGAATGGTAGGCGTTGTTCAGTCGTAGTTCAGTTCCCAAGGCCTGTTGTAAACTCTGCTAGAATCTTGACATGAACTTAGAGTCTCTGTCTGATACGATAGATGCAGGTACACCATGTAATCTCACAATCTCATTCACATAAATGTTAGCTAACTTATTTGCATTGTAAAAAGTTGTAACCGGCAAAAAATGAGCAGATTTAGTCAGACGGTCAACTATGACCCAGATAGAATCCATACCTCGAGAGGAGCAAAGCAATCCCACAATGAAATCCATGGTAATGTGCTCTCATTTCCATTCCGGTATTGGAAGCAACTGAAGTAGTCCAACGGGTCATTGATGTTCGGCTTTAACTTGTTCGCAATACAAACATTTAGCCACATAGTCAGCGATACTTCTTTTCATTCCAGGCCACCATAAATTCTGTTTCAAGTCTTGATACATCTTTGTATTCCCTGGATGCATAACAAATTTGGAGTTGTGGGCCTTAGTCATAACACATTTTCTCAATTCAGAATGGTCTAATACACAAAGTCTACCCTGAAATTTCAATACATTTTTCTCTAACACAAATCCTGACCTTGGCTTTGAGTCAATCTCATCAACAATTTTCTTCAAAGACTCATCTTCAAGTTGCTTCTCTCTAATTTCTCCAATGATGGTAGGTTGAGCAGAAATGGCAGCTAGGATTCCACCTTGTTCACGCAACACAATTTCAATCTCATTTCTGTCCAGGTTACATAACAATTCCCTCTAGCCGATGAGCAAACATGACAAATTTCCAATAAATTTTTGACTCAAGGCATCCGCCACTGTATTAGCTTTTCCTAAATGGTACAAAATCTACAAGTCATAATCCTTGATCAATTCAAGTCATCGCCTCTATCTCATGTTCAGTTCTTTTTGGGTGAATAAGTATTTCAAGCTTTTATGCTCAGTATACACCTCACAAGTCACACCATACAAATAATGTCGCCAAATTTCCAAGGCAAACACCGTAGCTGCTAGTTTAAGGTCATGTGTTGGATAGTTCTTTTCATGTGGTCGGAGTTGCTGAGAAGCATAAGCAATCACCTCACCATTTTGCATTAGTACATATCCTAAACCTTTGTAGGAAGCATCACTATAAATCTGAAACCCATCGGTTCCATTAGGCAAGATCAGAATTAGTGCAATTACCAGTCTAGTTTTCAGGTCTTGAAAGGCTGACTCTTGTTAATCATTCCAATCAAATGGTACATTTTTCTGAGTCAGTTGAGTGAGTGGCAAGGCAAGCTTGGAGAAATCTTTCACAAAACTGCGATAATAGCCTGCAAGCCCCAAAAAACTTCTAACTTCAGACACATTGGTTGGCCTTGGCCAGTCTACAATGGTTTCAATTTTCTGTGGGTCCACTGATATACCATCCTTGTCAAACACATGTCCCAAAAATGCTATGCTGTCAAGCCAGAATTCACATTTGGATAGTTTTGCATACAACTTCTTTTCTCTCAACATCTGTAAAGCAGTTCTCAGGTGATATTCATATTCTTCGCTGCTTTTGGAGTAAATGAAGATATCATCAATAAACACAACAATAAATTCATCAAGAAATTGTTTAAACACCCTATTCATTAGGTCCATAAAAGCTACAGGTGCATTCGTTACCCCAAATGGCATGACTAAAAATTTATAGTGCTCATATCTCGTCCGGAATGCAATTTTCACTATATCTTCTACTTTAACTTTCAATTGGTGGTATCTGGATCTAAGGTCAATTTTTGAAAAGACTTGGGCTCCCTGCAGTTGGTCAAATAAGTCATCTATTCGAGGTAGTGGGTATTTATTCTTGACAGTCACTTTGTTTAACTCCCGATAGTCTATACACAACCTCAAAGATTTGTTTTTCTTTTTAACAAATAAAACTAGAGCACCCCGAGGTGAAGTGCTCGGTTGGATGAACTTCTTGTCTAACAAGTCTTGAAGTTGGCTTTTTAATTCTTCCAACTTAGAAGTTGACATTCTATACGGGATTTTGGAAATTGGTTGTGTTTCGGGTACAACATCTATAGTAAACTCAATTTCTCTATCAATTAACTCCCTGGGCAATTCAGTTGAAAATGCATCAGGAAATTCATTTACTACCGAGATGTTCTCTATGGTAAGACTATCAGAAATCACAGTCAAAACACAACACACATGCCCTCTACATCCCTTCCTAAGTAGTTTAACAGCTTTCATGGCAGAAATCAAATATTGGGGAGTGGGAACTACCCCATTCCCAGTAAACGCAAATTTAGGTAAGCCAGGTGGACGAAACACAACGGATTTATTCACACAGTCAATAGTTGCACAGTAATTCATCAACCAGTCCATACCTAGTATGCAATCAAAATAATCAATACCCAATGGCAATAAATCAGCATACAATGTCACATCACCAATTACTAGTTCACATGTCGGATAAACATAAGTATATACCACAGAATCCCCAAATCGTGTAGAAACAAACAGTAAATAATTCATAGGTTCTAAAGGTCTAGTCAGTTCCCGAAAAAGACATGCGACATAAATGAGTGTGTAGAACCAGAGTCTATCAGGACATATGCATTTTGGTTACAGATGGAAATTATACCTGACACCACAGACTCGGTGTTCTGTATATCCCTGGGTACTAGTGCAAACACTCTCCACTGTCTTAGTGTCTCATTTCCCGTGTTACCCCTGGCATTAACTCTTGCATTTGTTCTTGCTATAGAAGCAAACCCGACCAAACTTGCTGCAGGACAGTTGGCATCGTCGAATCTTAGCGGACAATCTCTAAGCATTTGGCCAGCCTTACCATAACGAAAACAAGCACTTGATGCACGGTAACATGTGCCTTTATGCTTTTTTCCGCAATCGGGACAATTTAAAATAGATCCACTACTCTGACTAGAGCTACTGGAGGATCCCGTATTCTGCCTTTTTGAAAATGACCGACCTTTCTTGAAATTAAATCTGGATCGTTTACCCTTCCATTCAGTTGTTGGAGCTGGAGCTTGTTTCTTTACTGCCAAAATGGCCTCTGCCATCAATGCTCTATCAATTATTTCCACACATGTATGCAACTTTAAAATGCCTACTCAATCAAAACGTCCAGATCTAATCCCCTTTCAAATTTCTGAGCCTTTTTGTAATCTGTGTCAACCATATGAGGAGCAAATCTGGCCAACTCGGTAAACATAGCCTCATACTCGGCTACAAACATCTTGTCTTACTTAAGTTCTTGAAATTCTGACACCTTACGGTCTCTAAAGCATTGGGGAAAATATTTCTCGTAGAATATTACTTTAAACTAACTCCATGTCATAGTTCCACTGCCATCTTGGATAAGCATCCACCATCGTCTCTCTTCTTCTTTCAGCGTATAAGTGGCCAAAAGAACTTTCTGCATTTTCAAGCACGGAAATACTTCAAATATATTTTCAGTCTCTAGTAGCCATGTTTCAGCTTCAACGGCTCAATCCCACCCAAAAAGATTGGCAGCTTTATTTTATTGAACTTATGTGTTAGTACAATAATATCATTGTTTTCTGGCTCAACTGGCACCGAAGGTGGTGGAGGTAACGGTTGTTGCCTCCATTGTTGCGTCATTGCCTCAGTCAAGCTGCAAGCATCTGTTTCATTCTACTCATTTAGGCCTCAGAAGACTCAATGGCATCATTACTTCTTGTATTTTCCATTTGCTATAGGTAAAAAAGGCAATAATAAACAAAGGAATAATCTTGTTTGCGATGTTCGGAGTAAGTTCATTGTTTTCAATTGCAAGAGTTCATGAATTCATATTAAGATTCAGTTTACACATTGAAAGAATTCAACACACACTCATACATGCAGATGTAATGTCCCTACTTCTTTTTTAGGACACCTTATAGCTCATATGGACTTGTGTGTGCGGTATAACACGTGCTCTGATACCACTCTGTCACAGCCTAAACCTGCCCCAATAGGTTTAGCATTGTAACCGACCAGTAATCCTTAGATTACCAAAGACCTCTAAATAGAATAACATATACTTAGGGGCTGCAGAAGCAAATATATAAAACACATTGTCCATAAAGCTGTGTTGACGTATATGAGACAGAAATTTAAAACTTTATATACAAATATGTGACGTCAAAAATAAAGTCGTCTTACGTCATATTCATTGCAAATGGAGCAAAAAGGGAACTGAGCCCCATATATAGATGAACAAAAGTTTGCTCATATATCAATAGAAAATAAAGTTTTAAACATTTACAAAACATGGCCACAAGGCTTGACTTAATCCGAAACCCCCTCGGAAGGTACAAAAGGGTGGTTGACACACCAAAACTCGAGGCAGCAATTTAGGCTTGGTCACGCTCCTGGTTACTTATATATATAATATAAATAGTTAGTGGAAGCTCAGTGAATAATAACAGAGTAAAGAATTTAATGAATGATGTCCTATAGCAGATTTCGAATTAGAAACAAATTTAGTTTCGCATACTTAACCAAAGATTATAGCAATTATATGTAGTACATCCATTTAGTCGTCATATCATATCAAATTTGCATAGTTGGTACCGACGACCACATAGGTCCACATTTTGTGTACAAGTAGCCATGGTATTGTTACCCTCAG